AAAACAATATATCGACAATAAAACCGTAGCAGAATCGATAATGTGCCCACAAAGAATGTCGAATATGCAATCCCGTACGCAAGCGGCTGGATACTAGTACCCATGTCCATCATCATCATCGCAAGGCGGAAGCGGCAGCGGCAGAGTCCACGAGTCGATGCCAAACCCAGCCGACAAAGCGCATCTCTAATGCGAAGACAAGTTTTTATAAAAAAAAAAGAGTGGAAGAGGTGGGCTGGCCCGCAGTAAAATCAAGAGAAAAAACCTTTTTTGAACTGGCTGCTGGGTAGGATAACATATTAAAGCCCCCCTTCGTCACTTCTTCTTCTTCTACTACTTCTACATGATTGCTTTTGGAGTTTTTGACGTGTGCAATTGTTCATGTGTTGGGGCATATGGGTAAGTAAGGAGCCGTTTGGCTGCTGTGCGATCGCCCTCCCCCGTGGTGGGTTTGGAACAAGCGTTCGTAGGCTTGAGACGGCAATGGCGTTGTGGGGGCAAAAGAAGCAAATTGGTTGCGTTTCCGATGTGTCGGGAGAGGTGATTGATGGGTTTGTTTGTAATGCCGCAGACTCCCTCCCAAAAAAAAGGGGGGGGGCTTAGATTGTTTTTCATTGTCGTCGAGTATGTAGTTGTCTTGGGAAGTTTGGTGAGTGTAAGCACTGGACTTGTGAGGTTTGCGTCTGAGTGAACTGTTTCGAAACTGTAGAGATAGAGCGCGGGATAGGTTGTAGAATAAGGAGATGACAAAAGGGAATTGCGATTGCGTCTACAAGATGTGCTAAATCGTCGAATCCGCGAACAGAAAGATAGAAATCAACTACTCGTATACTTCTCATCTTTCTAGTTGCTAGAGAATCTCCTAGTTCGCAAACAACACCACCGCTACCAAACAAACTCCATTCGCCCATCCCTCCCCGCAAAAAGCAACTTCCTACCCGTGTTTGCATCTCGTTTCGCAATCCCAATAGGCCACCAGAACTCGCAACGTCAGGGCAAAAAACAAAAACAAAATTACACACGAGTAATTCAGCAAGGAGAAACATCCGTTGTTCCCCGATCTCAGTCACGAAACTTCTCCAGCGCTCGTGATTCTTTTGTCTACGCCCCGATCGCTCCAATGGCCACGACGATTATTCAAGATGAACGTCGGGCGTAGATTGCGAGACAGTCGGGCGAAAGCAAGGGTATCAATGTCAAACGGAATGTATTGAGGGTGATACAGGTTATGTGTGACAGGTATTGGTTTGGGCGAGGGCAAACGGGGGGGAAGGGAGCCAGGATATATTTAGACGACGCGTACGGTGGTACAAGTGATCGGGCGATGCAGATACTCGATGGCGAATGATGAGGGTGTTTTAGTTTAGCAGCGCAGAATCGTGTGTTTGTTCCGTGCAGATCGAGATTATCATAGCATGTCACGTTACGGAATATGGGTGAGGAACAAATCGTAGTACGACTAAAGCAGAGGTTATCAAAGCATGTCATTGTTCATTTTTTTTCGCTACAATACATTCAAAGTACAAAGGAAACATACATAGGTGTGATCTTATTAATCTCTTCTCGAACAAGCCGTCAGCTCTCAACCCCTTGAGACGTAGTTCTCAGTCATGACCTTGTCTAGTTCCCCTTCTGAGCTCTGGATGTGAATGTCCTTTTGGATTTTGATAATACCAGCGTCTCCCACTGAGATCTGGTTCGACATACGCAGTGAAATCCCACCTTGTCGGCACAGTTCCTCTTCAGACTCGGTAACAGTGAGCCCCTGGTCCGTCCGCGCGACACTTCCCCTGTGGCTCTTCCTCGCCCACTTGCCTGCACGCAGCTCTCTGCCCTCGGAGCCAAACGTAACAATATGGCCCCGCGACGAGAGTCTGTACTTTTTGTTGTTGGAATCGCTGTCGCCTCCAGGGCCCGAACCAGACGAGCTTCCGCCCATCATCCGGGTCCACAGGGGCTTGAGACTCGGCAGGTTGACTGCGATGACGGCGCATTGAATCTCGAGTGCGGCAATGATGACCATCTTGCCGAGTACCCAAGATGTATCTGGCGAGCGGAACAGCTCGAACAGAGGTATAAGCCGGAAACAAGCAATGATGACGGAACTGCTGCCAAAGGCCACAACGCCAATCACTCTGAGCTTGCGGGCCATAGACATTTGGAGGTGCCAGACTGTGCAGATGGGTAGAATGAGGATATAGAAGTCTGCAAGGATGTTCTATGTGACTATTATTAAGACTTCGTTGTTTGCGTCGGTAAAGGGAATGGAGGGCTTACGAGAACAGACGGCACAATAAGCATGGCAAGCCTATTGATACAGACGGCATTTGGGTGCGTGCCTGGGTGGAGAATTTCATCGAATGGGACACACTGGAAACATGCCATGAGCCTGGATTTTGTGTTAGCGAGACGTGAGTTATGTGTCTGCAAACGGCGGAAATACGTGTTTATGATCAAGATAGTACCGTTTATGACGCCGCCCATGTAAATGGCGATGCGAAAGGGCTTCCTGGTTGACAGGCGCAGGTAGAATAAGAGGAAAGCCGATTTGATTACCCAGTGTACTGAGTAGTAAACGACTTGTTCAATAAACAGCCACTATTTTGAATTAGAGAAGTCCACCGCTAATCGCATTTGAAAGCACGTACTTTGATGATTTGAAGCTGCTGGTGCGTGGTCAGTGTTGTCATGTGTCTGTGTCTCCAGTCAGCAATTAGTATGCAGTGAGCAAAGCAGGGACTATCATACAAACCACATCCCCAATATAGAAACATGTGCAGGATGAGTTGTTGACCGATGCTGAAGACCTGTAGTTCTTGCTGTTAGATGTGTCTTGATATCCACAGGAGTACCGTGCAGACCACGTACAAGAATCAGCACTGTGAAATGATCGTCCCATCCCCATAAGTGCAGGACACAGCGTCGACAGTAAAAGCGGAGAAAGATTGAAATAGTACCAAGTACAAATGTAATATAAGCAACGGCATACGCCAGTGGTTGGAGGTTTGATAGTGCCATGGTCTCAATATTGTGAGCTCTCAAACAGAAGTAGTCCACGACTCGAAGTGCGTGTATCGAGACACAGAATGGACTTCGCAGACAAAGTTTATATCCACCAGAGCCTAATTGCAGACTCTAAGTTCAGTCAGTCTTTGCTATGACGGTCGAGCTCCCGGGGAATGAAGGGGGCTTAGAAACCTCCTTGTCAGTGATCTGCCTTCTTCGATACCCGCGGACTCAGATCCATGAAATGCAGACGCATCAAAGCGTTCAGCAGTCTCAGATTCTCGTACCAAGCCGTATGACCGTTACGCGTTGCCCTCATTGGTACTACGCACTGATATCGGGGTATTTGAGCAGCATACTCGAAACAGGATCTTCGGTATGCTGTCCGAAAACAGAGGTTCAACTTGACAGTTGACATGCATCAGCGTTTTTTGACATTTGCCAGGTTCTAGGATGTAGAGATTTACGGCGTAACGGACGTACTGTGCACGCATACGTCGGAACGATCGTCTGGGAAAAGCTATCATACAGGGAGACTTTCTAAGCCCCCACTGTCTCACTGGGATGTCTCATGCAGAACCAGTCAGAGCTCGTTCCAGTGTTTGCCTTTGGCAACTATTATCTCCGAGCATCGATCGGAACTTTTTAAAGCTAACCCCGCAGCAATTGTTTGATGTCACCTGCGGCTTGCTTACTGCGTACGTATCCTTGGACGGGTGCAAACGCTACGCTTCCAGTCGCTGACACGCCTCAGGCCGTTGACAAGCCGTCAAACCCCTGAAACTGCTGATAGACCTAAAGCGGCCGACTCGGATCCGGATCCGGACAGACTTGAAGCGATGGAACGCAAACAACCATATGGAGATGTAAGGATCCTCAGTGCCCACCAAACGATCGAATCCTCCACGCTGGAACCTTTATTTCTGGCTGCCAATCAAAAATAGGCGGCCGAACAGGTTTCTCGACGAGTGACATCGCTCGCTTGATTCTCGTACAATCTTGCGTCTTTTTGAGTTTATTTGGGCGATATGAACGTTGTCTAGACCAAGATGATGATCGATGAGAAAGTCACGGACGAACTGCCGAGTTTGATACTATTGTCCGGCTACTTGAGACGGTATTGAGAAAACATGTTGGGTAGACAACGGGGCTTGGCATTGATGACTAGAAAGTTATGAATCGACTCACATGCATCGGTGACTTCCCCGTCATTCCCGCCTCCCCGACTACCGAAGCTGTACCGTAGTGTCGTAACACAGAGCTGTGATAGGTATGATCTACTACTACCCTTCGCAACTTCCACTCAGATCGGCGGCGGGGTTGGGACAGCCGTGTATACTTACTCCCGCCCAGCGTCTGTGGAAGAGGTTACGCGCATGCTCCTCGGCAATTATGCGAACGGCCATTTAAGTTTCTTTAGCGAATGCTATGGAGATAGATGGCGATAAGAGCCCGGCGGGTGCAAGAGGGGACATGTACCTGATTTAAGTTGTTTCAAGATGTTAGTTATATACAAGCAAGTGCTTCTAGTGGTCATAGCCTAGCTACTTCAAAAAGGAGTAGCAAATAGAAAACCTATAATTACCTGTAGTATACTGCTAATCTAGGTGTTGCCGCTTCAGGCTATCCGACATGTCCGGAGTCTTGTTCCTTGCTTCAGTCGGTCCTTTAGGAAACTTAGATACCCCGCAGGACTGTTCTCTGACAGGGATGCGTGTGCGACAGTTGTATCACCTTTACCAAGAGGAACCTAGTCTTTCAACTACGTCTAAGGACCCACCTTTGGCGCCTGCATATATGGAACATTGGCAGATATTGGTAAGTCTTACATGCGGGTGCACTGCTGCTCGTACTCAAGGTCGCATGGTGCTGCTCTTTCGTTTTAGTTATCAAGGAACGCAGCCCCAAATCATCAATCCTCAGAGCATTTCCAAAATTACTTCGTTCCCCATTCTTGTTAGCGTAACCAACCTTTGAGGGCTCTGGTGGCTGCAATGGAAGTCATTCAGGATGCTGCACACAATGCTGCCCAAATAGATGCGTTTCAGGGTGCTTTGGCAGCGGCCCTACTGGGCGTCGTTTTCCATCTTTCTATTCTTCCCATCGAGTTCGAGGTTATCATGGTCCACTTCATGGCAGCCTCTGTGGCCATCTTTTTTGGCATGATATATGTGTTCGGGATATTGAAGGCTCTGCTGTTCACCGCAAGCTTCAACACTGCATTACTAACCACCATCGCGATCTATCGATTAGTGTTCCACCGGTGCCGAAAATTCCCTGGGCCAGTTGCTGCTAAAGTGTCAAAGTTTCACGCAGCATGGATCGCGGCAAAGAACGTCCAGTACTACAAGGATCTGGAGAAGATGCACGAGCAGTATGGTGACTTTGTGCGCACTGGTGAGTAATTGTGTACTCAGAAATTCAGGAATGGGCGATTGCTGATACGAGCTCTAGGGCCGCGAGAAATTAGCATTCTACGCAGCTCAGCAGTTCCGATCCTGTATGGACCCGGTTCGGAGTGCCAGAAGTCAACATGGTATGACCAAACTGGGGGTGATCACCGAAAAGCCTCGATCCACATGACACGCGACCACAATGCCCATCGTCTTCGCCGTCGTGCTTGGGACCGTGGCTTCTCTATCAAAGGTTTGTACGGGTCTTCGAGGTATAGTGGTGTGTGCTGACGTTGAATAGCACTGAACATATACGAGCCACGTATCAAAGCCAAAGCAGACTTATTCAAGAGCCAGCTAGCCAACAAAGGAGAGGCATCCATGGATGCCTCAGCCTGGTCAATGTACTTCAGTTTCGATGTTATGGGCGATGTTGGCTTTGGAAAAGACTTCGACAACCTCAAAAATGGTGTCGAACATGTTGCCATCGAAGGCGTACATAAACACATGACCATGCTAGGGATAATGAGCCCCGTACCGTGGTTGCTGTATATCTTGAGTTCAATACCCGGAGCGGCGGCAGGTTATCTTGATTTCTTCTCCTTTTGTGCAGGCCAAATCCAGGAAAAACATGAGGTACGTTTCTCATCGCTGTACTGCACGAAGCTAGTGAATTGACAAGTTGTAGAGTTGGGATAGCGAAAAGTATCCGCAAGATGTGGTATCTTGGTTGCTGAAAGCCATCAAGGAAAAGGACGCTACGGCGCCCAAAACCGCAGCCGCACTCGAGGATGATTCAAGAGTGATGATCATTGCAGGGAGGTAGGAAATTCCAAGTCAAAAACAGAAGGCAGCAGCAGCTGACACAATAGTAGTGAGACGACTGCCACCACTCTTGCAGGAGCTCTCTTCTTCCTCGCCAAGTATCCCGAGAAGCAGAAAAAGCTTCAACAACTCCTTGACCAGACAATGCCAAGCGGATACGACGAGTGGTCATATGAAAAAGTAAAATCGGTTTCCTATATCGACGACGTTGTCAGTGAGACACTGCGACTTCGTCCTGCACTATTGACTGGCGGAGCGCGAGAAACACCGGTAAAGGGCATTACGATAGACAACACATATATTCCTGGCAAGACAAACGTGTTCATACCAATATCGCTTATTCAAAAGGATGCCAGATGGTGGCAGCAGGCCGAAGAATTTATTCCCGAGCGGTTCGGCGAAAAGAGGGCGGAGATGGCAACTGACAAGGCACCGTATATGCCTTTCTCTCTAGGTAAGTGCCTCAATGCAATGATGACAGTTGTAGATGTCAGTCAGCTAACATACCCAAAGGTGCGTACAGCTGTCCCGGAAAGACCCTGGCCTACATGAGCTTGCGCATCTCGCTTTCCATGATTACGCAGAATTTCGACGTGTCGTTTGCACCGGGTGAGACAGGAGAAGCTTTCGAAAATGAGATATTGGATACGTTTACTGTAACACTGCCGCCCCTTCAATTACGGTTTACTCCGCGGGAGAAGGCTTGAATATGCGGGGGAGTGCGTATATATTCCGATCGTTTCTTGCGGACGTGCTCACCTTCGGGGATAGTAATGTGATTGAATAGTTGGGTCGAGCAAGAATTACTGCCAATTGAAGCAATTCATGTGCATCTGGTGATTGCTTTGCAGATGGGTACGGGGAGCACGAAAGCTCAAGAGGCGGTCAAAGGCGACTACGGGCTCCGAGGAGTCTCTGGTTTTAACTCTTGAGCGGTTGTGACAATCAGATGCCGCCAAGGCCACTGTATGTGTATGTACACATGTACAAATAGGGACGCTTCATTAGCTTGTAAAATTATTCAACGTGTATTTTCAAGAGCACATTTCATGCCGGGCTGCAGTGTAATGAGTGACTATGATCAGATGTGCATCGGTGCGTACTGGTACATGTATAGCAATAACGGCTGACTGTTGATCGTGGACTTGCTCTGCAAGCCGTTGCGCAGAGTGGGCGGTGGGGAAGCCGGATACTGCACACCCTCAGAGACAGGACGTTGGCCTTGTGACGATGCGGACATGGATGGGGCCGCATCAAGCTGCAAGATCGACGCGGGATGACTTCGACGTGCGACGGCCCGCTCTGCACCACACTCGCCACAGTGGAACGCGTCAGAATTTTGACATGTGACAGCAGTGAGAGGAACAGTCGAAATGGCAGTGAAGGACGAGGAGGCAAGCGGACAGTGACATTGTGGGGTCTTGGTCGCAAGCAGCGGCCGGGCAAGTGGACAAGTGTTGAGGGTCCGTTGACGATGCTCATGCGCCGCTGGAGGAATAGTGTCAGTGCATTCAATATGGATCCAGTACACGAGCGGCAGAAGTGCACCGGGGTCATGGAGGCCATTGGCTGTGATAGGCCAAGGAGCCGATGGTTCTCCGTGCATGGCGGCTAGCCGTGAGTCGAGCTGCGAGCTTGTGGCTGCACGAACGGTCGCGTGGCCCAAGAGTCGGTCCCATCCAAGGGTGGCCAGGTCGTAATTATGCAGGGCGCAAAGCATGGTTGTCGCGGGCCTGAATTTAAGGGAGTTGGAGGACAAGTCGAGGACAGCGAGGACGATGACAGCGACGAAGCTGCGTGCTGAACTGTCACCACCACTCTGGCTAATGTACTGACCCATGTCCATTGCCCAGCCACTGCCACGCCCCTGGCTCATCGCAGCATGTAGGCATAATGGCCCTTGGCAGTCATTTCCCGTGCGAAGCGCTGGGTGCATGAAGCGGCGGAGAGCGTGATTGGGTGCATGGTTGATGAACGGCCTCGCTCTCTGAGGTGGGCAGCGTGGAGAAGAATTGAATTTGGGTCTGGCCATGGACTCGACTAGAGCAATTGCAGGCTAGGGGCGAATGGAGGAGGCAAAGGCCGCGAGCAGTGGGCCCGCCAGGACGAGCGGCCCTGGGCGTGGTTGGCTGCTCGGGAGTTGGAGCATGAGCTGGGCGGTGCAGCCATGAGCGCAATGGGAAAAGCAAACAGGGCGACAAACTGCAGCCAGCCGAGGGGTGGCACCAGAGGGCAGCAGGTTGACAGGCGAGCGAGGTCGTGGGAGTGAATTGGCGGTTGCTGTGGAGCTTTGGCGCTGATGACGGTGAAAGACGGCGTCCTCATTTCCGCCCGCGTTAGTGTTAGCGAACCAGCCTCATCCCAAGTAGCGGATCCAAGCTCCCCATCGCCCTTTCCCTCCTCGAACGCCCTCGACGAGATAGCGACTTCCCCAGCTGCGCGACCACCGTGACTGCGCCTTCCATCTCGAGCCCTAACGAGCCGATCGAGCAGTCGCGACCCGCCCCTGTTGCTGCCACGAGGAAGCAGCGGCCCACGACAGCGACCACAGCGACAGCGACTGCAACGAGAGAGCGCACCCCAGCCCGCCCTCAGCTACATACGTCTGTCTCTCCCCCCCCCCACACACGACACGACGCTCCAGACACCTCTCGCTCCGCTCTCGCTCTCGCCCTCCTCTCCTCCCCGTCCGTCTTTCTCCCTCTCTCCATCTCTACACCCCCCTTTGGTCTCCCGCGCGCCCTCTCTCTGCCTGAGGCTGTCGACGCGCTGAAAACTATGAGCGCCGAACCCGCGCAGCCCTCTGCTGACGCATCTGCCGCCAACGGTACGTTCTTGACCCGGCCCAGGGCTCACGCCGGTCAATCTCCCTCCGACGCGATAACTAACCTTGACCTAGCTGCCATCGCCCCGAATTCCATGCTCAACGTGCCCCAGTCTGGTCCCCAGTCCACCGACAACCACACGCCCAACATCGGCCTCAGCGGCGCAACCACTGCAGCAGACGCTGAGAGCATAGGACGCGGCTCCAAGCGAAGCCTCATGGGCAAACGACGGGCTGGCAGCACGGCGAGCAGCAAACGCTCTCAGCCGCGTGCTGCCCCATCAGAGAAGACCGAGCAGCCGCCCCCGCTGCCCGCTACGGCCGACCGCCCTGCATCGACGAGGAGTAAGACGCGCAAGGGCGGCTTGCTGTCGTGCCTGCCTTGCTTTGCACCCAAGGAGTCCCGCCTCGCCGGCGACTCGGCCCCTACGGAGAATGTCAAGCAGGCCCAGAAGGTGCCTGCAGGGCGCACATCGCAGTCGACGCCCGTCAAGAAGCAGGAGCCGACCATCGCCGAGTCAAGTAAAACCGACTCCAAGGAGCCCCTCGACGAAAAGACTGGAACTGAGACATTGGGTTCGAGTCTTGGCGACAAGCCTAGTCATGGCGATGGAACCACCGAGCAGCCGCCAGTCGAGGATAGTCCTCAGCTGGTGACGAGAAGCTCATCCCAGAGACAGCAAACAGAAGCAACCTCGCCCCCTCAACCCGGCACATTACAAACTGGTCATCCTCAGATAAGCATCACCAACCCCACGCCGGCCGCCACGCCAGTCTTGCCCCGCCCATCCGCAGAACAGCAACGCATAATAGAGGACCAGACCGAAGAGCAGAAGCAGATCGACAGCGACATTGAAATGCGAGATGTGCCGCTTTCGTCCCACGAAGTTCCGCACCAGGCCGACGCAGCCGACGCTGACGCTGAACCCGAACAGCCCAAGGTCGATTTGCCTCCTCCGCCGCCACTAGCTGAGAGACAGGTCGCTGTGCAGGAGCAGGTTGCGGATGCGGGCGAGGCACCAGAGGAGCAAAAGTACCTTTTGGGACCCATTGCACCCAGGTTCCAGGGTAAAAAGTGTTTGGTTCTTGATCTCGACGAGACTTTGGTCCACAGCAGCTTCAAGGTATGTCATTAAGATCATGGTATTTGCTCCTATTTACTGATTCAATGTAGATTCTGCACCAAGCAGACTTCACGATTCCTGTGGAAATTGAAGGCCAATACCACAATGTCTATGTCATCAAGCGACCGGGCGTTGACCAGTTCATGAAGCGTGTGGGCGAACTGTACGAAGTGGTGGTTTTTACAGCATCTGTTTCCAAAGTACGTGGCTGCATTGTTTTGTTCCGGCAATTCCGCTAACGAGAGTAGTATGGTGATCCCCTCCTCGACCAGCTCGACATTCACGGCGTTGTTCACCACCGACTTTTCCGCGAAAGCTGCTACAACCACCAGGGCAACTACGTAAAGGTGAGAATATGAGCATAAAGTCAGGTTCCAATCAGACGCTAATGCCCCTGCGCAGGATCTCTCACAGATTGGCCGCGACCTCAAGGATACCATTATTATTGACAACTCGCCCACTTCCTACATCTTCCATCCGCAACACGCCGTCCCCATCAGCAGCTGGTTCTCTGACGCACACGACAACGAACTCCTCGACCTGATACCGGTGCTTGAGGATCTCGCTGGCCAGCAGGTCAGCGACGTCAGTCTGGTGCTTGACGTGGCTTTGTAAGCATGCTCGAGACGATCATTACGAAAGAGGATACCCTTTGCGCATACCCTTCTCATCGCGCCGACATAATCACTTTACTTCGGGCGCAAACCGTAGGATGCAATACCCCTACCTATTCCACTCTGTACCTTGTAATCAGCTTTTAATGTGCATAAAAAGCGGCTCAGTGCGTGACGGCTGTACAAGCCGCCGTGTAAGACCGTGCTAGTGTCACATTGCACGCCCCATTTTTCCCACCACCGCACGCGCATGTTCTGGGGCGATGCCCCTCAACCACACCATTTCCAACCATTGACACTAGGCTGGCGCGCACTACCTCGACTTTTGCGCACAAAAAACAGGAGGACCGGCGCACAACGGCGTCCCTTTGGCTTGAAGAGCCACGAAAATCCACAGTAATATTGGCACATACCCCCCTTTTTTTCAGCATATGCGACGCCTGGCCTCTCTGAGGTCTTGTAGTATCTACTATCAGTACCATTTCCTTTGTACGTTTTGTGTTATTCTTTTCTTGGTTCTGCATTGCTGGCGGGAACAGGCAAGGTCTATTCATCCCCACGACTGGAGCGTGCTTTGATGCCCCTCGTAACTCTCAGTTTTGTTTTTCCTCCTGTTTTTGTATGGCGAGGCTGAAGCGCAAGGTGCCTGCAGACGCATCCAGATGCCAGTAGGGGCCGTAGAAGTTCAGATAGTCAACAATACCCCTTCTATTTGTCAACCCACAGATTGGCTGCCGCGGCGTTGCGTCATGCATATCGTGAACCATGTGAGAGCCAGGGCATACCTGATCGCTGGGGCTTGCACATGCAATGACGTTGGATGCTGGATGGAACCCTAGGCTTGGCATTCACATGCTGCCCGCCGCCGTTGGAGCGTGTGCACAGCCACTCATCACGCGTCCCGCCAAAAGTGACACACGATGCTACAGCTACTAGTCGAATGTACCTACACCTAGCCCCACGACAACATCGCAGCAGCAGCTTTGTCGCCACACTCAGGAGGAACGGAGCGGGAGGCTTTTCGGGTATTTAGTCCGTCACCAAACACGACAGAGTAGGTTTGGGCTCGTTTGTTTGCTGCTCTGCTCCACCGTGGCTGCGACGTCGCTTGGCCTCCTCGTCCCTGTGCCCTGTCTCTCCTCTCTTCTCCAATATACCACTCACAGTCTTGCGGTGCATGGCTTGGTGATACAACGCCCACACTCACCTTCCTGTCTGTGTCTTGTTACGTTCCCCTCGCCATGGAAAAATACAGCCAATTTCGCGATAAAGGTGCGTCTACAGAATCCATGCAGTCGACCGTCACCACTACCACTACCACTACCTAATTCCCCTTCAAGTAGCGCTTCCCGCTCTGATCGCAGACTTTGATTCCGAATGTACTTGCTTACAGTTCAGCACAGGCACTGCAATTGCGCCTTTCCTCCCCGTACCACCCCCGCCGGTCGGCATCCTCTGGCGTCCGATATACCTCTTCCTCTTCTGTGTCCGCACACCTTTCGTCATTGCCTTCTCGCTTTTGTACTTCTTTGGCCTTGAGTTCATACCGGTGGGCAGAAGGCTCAAATATGTGGTACTGTGGTTGATGCTAGGAATTCCGGGAGTGTGGTGGGTGGACTTGCAGGTTGATGGGGTCAAGAGAGGGTACGTTCACTTGCGTGCAAAGAATTGAAGTTTACCAGAAGGTCTCATAGTTTTGAGGGCATGCTAGCTAAAAAAAAACGTTGCAGACAACTAAACTCAGCCAAAAACCATCTGCCTAAGGCTGGCACCATTGTCGCTTCATCCTTTACTTCGCCTCTCGACCCGCTCTACCTTGCGGGCATCTTCCAGCCAATCTTCACAAAGTCCTATCCGCACCTTTGCAAGGTCGAGCGCATAACTCTTTTCCGCGCCATCTTGCTCGCCTTCTCGCCACCTTCCTTGACTCCACAAGATCCGTCCAAGCTCGTCACGCTCAAACAACTCATTAGCGAAAACCCCGACAGGATCATATGCGTCTTCCCAGAAACTACTACAACAAACGGAAGGGGCATTCTACCGTTGTGCCCTAGTCTGCTAAGCGCCGATGGTAAGACCAAAATCTACCCTGTCAACCTCAGGTACACACCGCAGGATGTGACCACCCCTGTCCCTGGTGGTTATTTCTCTTGGTTCTGGCGTCTTCTCAGCAAGCCATCGCATCAAATGCGTGTCCGTATTGCTTCGCGTGTGTACAATACCTCAAATCAAGATTCTCCGGCAAAAGCGACATCAGATTTGCACAAGAACAAGGCAACGACTAGTGGCTATGACGCAAACATTTTCGAACAACCCGATTTCAAAGATGGATTCATTGGAACAAACGGCGGGGCTGGAGACGGTATGGATGTTGATGCTGGCGGTGCCGATGACGGCCATGAAGTCAGTCCTGAAGAACAAAAGGTGCTCGAGCGGGTTGCCGAGGATCTTGCGCGCTTGGGTAGAGTAAAGAGGGTGGGTCTAAGTGTTGAAAAGAAGATTGAGTTTCTGAAGGTGTGGGGTAGCCGAAGGAGATGAAGAGACCAGTCGCAATCTGGTGAACGGGTAATTTATTTTGAATATCCGATGTATGGTGATATGTGGATTAGATCGAGCTTGGTAGCGTTATACTTGCACATCATTTAGTTCTAATATCATCAATATGTTAGTATTTAAGTATTATATTCTTCGGCGATGCTTACGCTGTTGAAGCTTCACCAGAACGCCAAGGACTGTCTTAAATTTTGAAGTCGTGACGGCGATTGGGATAGGTATCAGACAAGAGGTGGGGCGATGCTTGCTTTGAGATTCACAGCCGGTACGTAGTCAGACAAATCTGAGTGCTAACTGTCCGGTGAAACGATGGCATTCGTCATCGTGCTGGACCCTTGCTTAGGCAGAGCTTAGCTAGTAGCCTAGCCACCCACAAGGTGAGTACATTGCTTGCATACTTACTCAACTCCACACTAGGAACACCGCCTTCTAGAACATACCTTTGTTGCCCAAAATCTCAGCCTTTTTTTGCTAACACTCGACTCGCACCATACAACTACCGTCGCCCTACCTTCCTCTCCACGTCCAGTGTATGATGGCTGAGCCAAACTCTGCCCCGCATGCCGAAAGCGACCCCGCAACCACGACCGACGCGAAGGAGACGCGTGATCAGGACGCGGATGAGCAGAAACCACGAGATAGCAACGGCTGGGATGGGAAGCTACGAGTAGACAAGATGACGCTCACCGACGAGCCAAGAGATCCACACGCGCAAATATTGAGTGATCCAGAGGTATCAGATGATGAAGGACCCCCGCCAGAACAGCTGGCTGCAGATGAAGACCTGTTGGACGATGTGCCGGACGATGAAGAAGAGATCGAGCTAGTGCACTGCAAGATTTCGGATATGTCGTCATTGCGACTAGAGAGGTTCAAGCAGATGAAGGTATGTCGCTCTTGGGATAGGGATACAAACAAGACGGTCTAACATCGCAGCGTCTCTGCCTTCGCCAAAACCGAATAGAAAGTATTGCGATACCAGAAGAACTCGCAACGAGCCTTACAGAAGTCGACCTCTATGACAATCTTATTGCGCACATCAAGGGCCTCGATGCCTTTACTGAACTCACGTCGCTCGACCTGTCCTTCAATAAGATCAAGCACATCAAGCGACTAAACCACATGACAAAGCTCAAGGATCTATATTTTGTGCAGAACAAGATTGGCACCATAGAGAACTTGGAAGGCCTCACCAATCTGCGACAGATTGAGCTGGGCGCAAACAGAGTACGGGAGATTCAGGGTCTGGAGACACTGACTGGGCTGGAAGAGTTGTGGTTGGGAAAGAACAAGATCACCGAAATCAAGGGCTTGGATACGCTTACGAACCTCAAGATTTTGAGCATACAGTCGAACCGGCTGCGGTCCATTACGGGGTTGGAGAAGCTCGTCAACTTGGAAGAATTGCATATCTCGCACAATCTTCTTACAGAATTATCGGGGCTAGAGAACAACGTCAATCTCAGTGTCATTGACATCAGCGCGAATCCCATCGAACATCTCGGAGGACTCAAGGGTCTCAAGCACCTTACCGAGTTTTGGGCGAGCAACTGCAAACTGAGCGACTTTGGTGAGATCGAGCGGGAGCTGAGAGATAAGGAGGAACTGGAAACGGTTTATTTCGAAGGAAACCCTCTGCAACGGGCGCAGCCAGCCTTGTACAGGAACAAGGTCCGACTTGCGCTACCACAAGTTGTGCAGATTGATGCCAGTAAGTCTTACTTGTTACATGTCTCTCTAGAATCCGGAGAACTAACGTTGTGAAAGCGTTTGTGAAGCAGGTATAGCATACTCCGAGGCGGCAGCGTAGACGACTCTGGGTTTCTGTGGTCATGCAAGTGTGTTCACTTAGACGGATTGTTCTTCCGCACGCAAATACATAGATGGTAGGCATATCATGGACATTGGCATTGGCACGGCGCGTTGGCGTTGGGCGAGATATTTGATAGCGTACATAGTATACGGTGGGGATACCCAATGAATGAGCGAACGGATGAATGGATGAATGAGGCTGGTTGCCCTGCCGAACGTCATGCAGGCTCGCTGGTTGTACAGGTTGACAGAGAGTACCGGTGCTAAAGCCGAGTATGGTCTAGCGTGTGGTTACGGGGAGGGTGGGTCGCGCCTTCTATGTTTACCGTCCGAGCGCAACCCAAACACTGGATATCACAACTCCCGCAGCATCACCGCAGCCGCCTCTGGACGCGCCAGTGCTGTTGACCGCGACGGAGCATGCTTTGTTGATATCCTTCTTTCGTTAGACTTTTGCCACGCATCACACCATGGAGTCCGCCAACGAGAACGCTGTGGGTATCCCTAGAGCCATCCCCTGGCCCGTTCATGTCTAATCTAACGCATTCTAAGGGTAGCACCAAACGTTCAGGAATCAAGCCGCCATCGACATTCTCCCACATCCCATCCTCACCCACTCGCGCCCTCGGTGAATTGCACGAGTCCACTACCAACGTGCGCAGCGCAATGCCCATCCCTACCGCAAAGCACAAGCCCTCTGGCTGTACTCTACCCCTCGCCACACCCCCAGAGGCACACTGTTTACTGACCACGACAGTGCCCGAGCCGGCCTTCAAGCAACGGAGGACACTGACTGAGCAAGCCCCCGAACCCGCCTCGCGAAGGCTACCCGCGCCCTCCAAGATCGCCAATGGCGTCAAGTCCGCTGTCGCTCGCAGCATGGCCGCCTCGACCTCGCGCACAATGACCAAATCGACAGTCAAGAACACATCTGTATCTGCCTACGCAAGCAGTGTCGGCGCTGTTCCCAGACCCGCCCCAACCACGAGGCCGAAATCGGCCTATGGCCAAAGTACACACACTAGGAGCAAGTCCTACCACCAGGGATCCCGCCCTGCAACGTCAATGATGAATCGACCAGATGACGACGACAGTGAACAAGCAGAGCGCAAAGGTGTGCAACCATTTCTTATCTCTTCAGTCCCATTCGCCCATGTCACAGTATCTAGAGGGATGTTTTCAGTCTCTAAGCAGCGCACAACTCCCTCAAGTGATTTCCAAGTACAGCCTGTTCGTGTGCCAGAGTCCCCAACAGTTTCTTCTCCTTCCACCTTTCGCCCCATCACTCCAGTCATTGAAGAGCCCGTCGTGACCGACTATGATGTCATCTGCACTGGACTTGGAGCGCTCAATCTAGTCGCATCCAAGGCAGAGAGGCATGAAAGTCGGACCGGACGCGGAATGGCTTCTGACAACGGAACAAGCTCCTTTCTTAAGCCAAAACTTCCTTTGTCACAACTTCCTCAGCCGGTGCAGACACCTGTGCGGTGGCGTGAGCAGCAGCAACAGATAGATCAATCACCCTACTGGCCCATGTCAATCACGCCGAGGCGATTACAGTCAGCACCATTTCTAAACCGTTTTACTAACGATCGTTGTCCAGATTTCTACAATGAGCGTATGGAGGCCATGGAACGCGACTTTCGCTCCTTCAAGGAGAAGATGGAGATGGATGTGCGACAAGCTACTGACTACAAGGAATCAATTCAGCAGCTCCAAGGCCGAGTTACCGAGCTCGAAACTATCCGCGCACGCCTGGAGATTGTGAACAAGGGGCTCGAGACGGAACTCAACGATAGTCGTACTAGTCTCAAATCAGTCAAGATGGAACTGGAAATGGCCCAGCAGAAACACACATATGAAGTTGATGACGTACGACGGAGGCTGCGCAACGAAGTTGAAGACTTGGAATCGCGACACCGAAAAGACACAGACCGGTTGGAACGGGAACGAGATGAGGTAGAAAGAAAGACACGTGTGGAATTCGAGGCACGGATCGACAAGTTATTGAAAGAGCATGAGGAAGAGATCCAGGTGCTGCGCAAGAAGCTCGACTCGGACTCTGAAGCGGAGCGGAGCAGGCGCGCACAAGAGGCCCAAAAGATTGAGGAAGAGTATGCTTCCAAACTCCGAGCTGCCGCTCTAGATGCAGATGTCAAGCAACGTGAAGCACAACTCCTGCAAGGCGAGCTCACCAATGTCAAGTCAGAACTCGATCGCGAAAGAACCCTCAAGATTGGCCTCCAGAACCAACTAACAGAAGCAACGTCCCTCAACCTTACACTGGAGGCAGCGAACAAGGCTATGAAAGAGAAGATTAACTTTCTCGAATCTGACAGCCAGGCACAGTCGTCCGCCTTCAACGACCTTCACAAGAGAATGCAAGATGCCATTGAGGCGGCGGAAAGAGCACACGACAAACTCCGACAAGAAGAGACATTGCGCCGAAAGCTATTCAACCAAGTCCAAGAGCTTAAAGGCAACATCCGAGTCATGTGCCGTGTACGGCCAGCCCACGCTACCGAGAGGGACCCGGCGCAGATTGCCTTCCCTGACAATGATACCGACAGCAAGGAAGTTGCCATTACCGGTCCAAGCAAACAGAGCGCGACTGGCAAGGATATTACTGCCTCATACTCGTACTCGTTTGATCGTGTGTTCGGTCCGACGTCCCAGAACGGAGAGGTTTTCGAGGAGATTAGCCAGCTTGTACAGAGCGCTCTCGATGGCTACAACGTGTGCATCTTCTGTTACGGTCAGACCGGCTCTGGAAAGACACATACCATGTCATCAGCTGACGGTATGATTCCGCGTGCCACAGCCCAGATTTGGGATGAAGCGCAGCGACTGCAAGAAAAAGGCTGGCGATACACAATGGAGGGTTCGTTCATCGAGGTCTACAACGAAACGTACAACGACTTGCTTGGTCGGTCAGAAGACCTGGATAAGAAAAAGGTCGAAGTCCGACACGACCCTGTAAAGAAGCAGACTAACCTGGACAACGCCGTGAGTGTAATGCTGGATGGCCCTGGCCGTGTCGAGGAGATTCTCGAAACGGCTAGCAAGAACAGAACTGTGGCTGCTACAAAAGCCAACATGCGATCAAGTCGAAGTCACTCAGTCTTCATTCTAAGGCTCGTTGGCACCAACGATATCACAGGTGAACGGAGCGAGGGAACACTCAACCTGGTTGACCTTGCGGGATCCGAGCGACTCGAGCACTCCAAGGTCGAAGGCGCGCGCCTGAAAGAAACACAGAACATCAACAAGAGTCTGAGCTGTCTTGGCGATGTAATCAACGCTCTCGGGTCGGCAAAAGAAGGCGGTCACATTCCGTACAGAAACTCAAAGGTATGTGTGGGGAGAAAACATTGTTTGCATTGTATATTTGTGTACTAACGAACTATGTCAGCTTACCTATCTCCTCCAATACTCGCTGGGCGGCAACTCCAAGACTCTCATGTTCGTCATGGTTAGCCCGCTCCAGGCGCACTTGCAAGAGACGATTACCAGTCTCAAGTTTGCGACAAAGGTGCATAATACGCATATCGGTACTGCGAAGAAGCAGACCAAGACTTCTTCGTGAGAGTGAGGTCTTGATGAATTTGTCCTTTTTCGTTTTTTATGTTTTTTCGGTGTGTGAACAATGGGCTGGAGTAATGGAGAGACTGGTGTGACTTTTGTTTACCCGCCTCCTTTTTGGGTTGGATTGGGTTTTTGGGACTGAATGGGGACACGTGTGGAAAGGCGGGGGGGTTTTATACACATATTTTCCCATGTGTTTCTTGGCTTTGTCTGGTTGGTTGTCTACTTACTAGCTTGTCAAATTGGCCAAGTAAAGCGCGGAGCGACTTTTGAAGTGCTCAGGTCGTTTGTGGGGGTTTTTTTGTTTCCTCGGTATTTCTTTTTTTTCATCTTCAGTTTTTTTTATAAAGATTCTTGCGGCTGGACACTACTTGCGATGTACATAAGTAGTGGCAGCTCATGGGCGAGTTTGCAGAGTAGAATGACGCTTGTTTTTGATTTGTTTGTATTTGATGTGTTCTGTTTTGCAAGTTGCTGGATACCCTGGGTTCTATTCAAGCCATGTCACTTCTCAACCAAAATGTAGACAAAAAAGGTATGAATCAAAAGAGATGAAGTGTATATATATAACTCAATCATGACCATGGCGCTAACCCAGACACCTTGCTAGCAAAAGCCCGGTTTCGACAGACGGACCAAAAACGAACAAATCAAGTACGCATACACAAGGGCAGTCTCGCTTGATCATCATACAAACTCCTGCTTTTGCCCTGTCCATGCTTGCTCTCTCCCCCCTCCACTCCCTAATCAGAAAGATGCCTCGGCGGTACGCGCGCCCCTTCAACAGCGTCTATCCAAACAATGACATCTTTCACGGCAAAACAACTACTAGTATCGTTGAGGCTAATCGTCTAAGATTTCGCATCTTGGAAATCAAGATCGAGCTTCCTCAAGTTCAAGCTCGAGCTGCCTGATACGCTCGTCCTTTTCGCGATCAGAAGGCTCAGAGTTGGTAACCTTTGCCTTGAGCTGGGCGACTTCTCGCAGCAGGATGGCAATCTGGTCGGATTGGTCCGACATGACCCTGTTTTGCTGCTCGAGTTGAGACTTGATGTCGCCTAGTGCGTCACGGAGAGCGGATGCAGGGCCACCGGAGCTAGCTGCGGCAGAAGTGGATGCAGCTGCAGGTGCGGTAGAGGGGCTAGCCGTGGTCGCGGACTTGGACTGAGTGGGGGTAGCAGTTTGGCTGGAAGATGGTCTTGCCGGCTCGGGTTCCTTGGTCATGACAGGGCCCCTGGTCTTTTCTTCTTGACGTGCAGCAGTGAAGTTGCGGCGGTCTGCAGGCTTGGGAATTTCCTCGAAGCTGGACGCGCTCTCATCGTCGGAAGCGTTATCCTTGTCTGCGTACTTGGAAGCAGCTGAGGCCATAGAATCCTTGTTGTCCTTCATTGAAGGTGGGGGCCCGCGGGAAGCTAGCGGCGCATGTGTGGGCTCGGGCGCAGCCTTGGGTTGCTCCGTCTTGACAGGCGCGGATTCGGCAGTTGTTGGCCTGGAAGGCTTGTAGTCGCTCTGCACTTCCTTGGGCGCATCACCCTCGTAAACACTCTCGAGCGAAATCTTAGGGGGCATTGCTGTCTTGCCGCCGAACCACTCCTTGGCAGAGACACCAGGCTTGAGGCCATTGGTGGGTGGGTAGATATCGCTCTGGAACATTTCCGATCGGCGGGGCACGATGAAGGATACGGGCTCGATGTAGGAATCGTTGACCGTCTTGAAGCAGCGAAGGACTTCGTTCTCGTGCAGGTTGATACCGCGCTTGGGGAGGAAGGCAATACCACGCTGGGGCTCGCCAGACTTGTACTCTGAGAGGTACTCAAACTTGTCGTTTTCGTATTCGTAGTACCGAATGTTGCCGTCACTGTCATGGTCAGTGGAAAACTCAAAGAACAGACGAAATACACATACCCCTTGCCAGCAAGATACAAACACTGGGTGCCGTCGTCCCAGAAAGGCATGCAGACACCAGAAATGGAGTCAAGAATCTGGAAGCCGCCAATAGGCTCACTGGGGTTGCGTGGGTCCCAGAGACCAAGTTGACGGTCGCTCATCTTGGAGAAACCAGTGGTTGCAATGCGGTCCGTCTCGCCCATCCATACAGCGCGGCTGTTCTTGGCGCCAGGATGTCCGGGAACCTCCTGTGCAGGCCTTTCCTGACGCACATCCCACACGCGCAACTTCTTGTCTCGGCTGGTGGTGACGAGGAGCGATCCGTCGGCGCTCCAGGAAAGCGACTGGACAATGTCGTTGTGCCTGAGCGAGAGCTGGGGCGCGCCAGCCTCGACATCCCAGAGCTTGACGGTAAAGTCACCAGACGCACTGGCGAGGACGTTCTCGGCCGCGGTGTTGAAGAGGACGTGGCCAACTTTCCTAAACAGGGGGTTAGGGCATGGCTTTGAACGGAAGCGCTCAGTCGCACCTCATGTGACCGCTCAGCCTGGCAACAGGAGCAACATCGGCGGGCTCCTCAGCGTCAGTGTGCAGTGTGAAGCCCTCGGGCACCTTCCAGATGAAGACCTTGCCGTCGTCCGAGGCTGAGGAGATGAGCGAGTCATTGAAGGGAGACCTGTGGGCAGTTAGTGGTGTGTACGACACTCCTTGTCTCGGATACGGGCGTACCAGTCAGTGTCGAGGACAGCGGCTGTGTGTCCGCGGAAGAGAGGCAGTTGGTCGGGAGCTCTGCCGCGCTCGTTGATGGGGATGACGGCAAAGGCGCCGCCGCCGCTGGCCTCCCAGTTGACTGAGATGTATTCGGGGTTTGCCTAGAGGGCGTCAGAAGGCGTGTCGTCGTGGTCGCGTGGGCATGGAGTGTGGGCTGACCTTGATCAGGTTGGTGTCCCAGGCATTCTTTGTGATGCGCAGGTTATCGTAGCATTGTTCCTGTTGACGGGTCAGCAGGGATAGACATGGATTCTGGAGGTTATAGCTAATGTACCTTCTTGGTGCCCTTGCCAAAGACATGGCCTGCATAGCTGTTGTTAGCATAACAAGCTGAGCTGGGGCTGGGCATCAACACTGACGGTACTTTGAGGCGCGCACGAATCGGCCTGCCATTGCGAGATGTTAGGGCCGGGGAGGTAGAGGTGGTAAGAATGAGGGACTCTCAGGCCTCGGGGTGGTTGAGTGAGCAGAAGAGGCGCTTTGTTTGAGAGGGGAGAGGGAGGATGCAGGGCAGTGCAGTGAATGGGCTGGCGAGCGCGTGTTTCGCCCTGGAACGCAGTCGCCCGTCGTCAGCGTCTTGGCAGGTGGACCCTCATCATCCCTGGTCGCTCTACCTGTCCACCTCCACCGCGCTGCAGCCCCCCATGCAGCCAACGGTCGCTTCGCCCGCTGCCAAACTGCATGTTCGCAGCATGATCCCCAGCCAGCCGCACCCTCGAATACCCTCTGTCCTACCCGGGCGGTTTCGTCTGCCCGTCTGATGTCGTGTGTCGGGCGTGGATACAGTTGCAAGTCTACCCTGAGTATCTTTCTTCTCAATGGGCTCCGGTCTGGCCTGTTCGAATATGCACATAGCAGCAGCCGAGTCTTCAGGTTGCTGCGTGGGCTTCGACCAAGAGTTTGCATGCACTCGAGTGTGCAAAACAAAGTCCTATTCACCAGTGTGCAGCCAGGGTGAATGAACTAAGCCTTGTCTTGTCTGGTACACCGCAAGCCAAATTAGTAGCTAATATGGTTCGAGCACAGTTACCACTCGACGGATGTTGCCCCTTTTCCTGTCAAAGACCGAGATTTGACATTGTCAGTGTCTGTTGATGCAAATTGGCCAGAATTGGCTAGACACTTGAAGCATTCATCCCAATTCGTATCAGGGATTTCTGAGAACTCTGTTGATTTGGTTGCCGCCATTGACTCTGACCTGTAGAAATATCAATAGAGGGCCTCATTTTGATTGTTGGTGGGCATGAAGGCAAGACGACCGGTGGATACCCCAGCCTCACATAGACAACTAACTGTATAGACAGAGACCATCAATCGCATACAAGGACCTTGATGGGGAAGCATGGGAATGAGATGATTGCCTGAAACAGTTAGAACGTTGGGCTAACACCTCCCTAGTCACTGTGGCTTGGCAGGTACACAGTACATACATACCTGCATCATACTTTGGTGCATATGTACCCAGCGTCTGCCTATTCTGATCAAGTACCTCGCGATTTGCTTGGTGGCAGCCATAAATTATACACACGGGTGTTCAATTAAAACTACTCCCGGTGGCATTGCAGAGGCGCAAACACAGCCAGCGTGTTATTAGTCTAATTCCCCAAGAAGCCGAAAGCGTCAGACCTCGGCCCACGGAGGTAGCGCCGCCATGAGTAGCAGCCACGACAAGACTGCGGAGAAGCATAAGCAGCTCTCTCTCTCTCTTTTACCTGATCCTGCCCACATTCCCTGACCCTCCAACCTACCACAAAATATATACCAACCATTGCCGCCATGTCTGACGAGGAAAAGAAACCAGTCGACGCGCCCGACGCAACCGAAGCGCCAGAGGCCAAGGAAGCCGTCGACAAGATCGCAGAGGCAGCGCCGCCCGCCCGCCCAAGCAGCATTAGCAAGATGGGCTTACTTGCGGGTGTGAAAAAGGCCGACGAGACTATCCTGAGGTTGAACAAGTAAGTCACTGGTCGGTACCGTAACATGCGCATCATGAGCTAACGACGGCAGACTGCTAGCTTCCCCAGGCGGCCTCTCCGCATTCCTCTCCACATTCAACTACACCCTCTACATCCTCGCCTACGCCCAGACAAAATCTCCCGCCGTCTCCGCCTTTGCTACGAGGCTGCTCTCCCTCATTCGCCCAGCATGCGATGACAGAAAGATACCCGCCACTACCCTCGTCGACAATGGCACCGTCCCGCCCGTTGCCGCCCTCGCCGTCCTCATCTCAAAAACGCGCACAACCCTCCGTCTGACGGGCACCCTACCTCTCTACGCATGGTTGCGCTCCCTCGCCTCGGGCCCCAAGCCAGGCACAGACGTCGTCTTGCATAGAATTGCTACGCTCCAGGCTATGAGCTACTTTGTTTACCAACTGCTCGAAAACATTTCTCTTCTCGCCGACTCGGGCGTCGTCTCTCCCCGCGTCATCTCGGTACTCAACCGCGGCGACCCCAAGACTGCGCGTCTGTACCTGTACGCCTACCGCTGCTGGCTCGGCGGTGTCTCGTGCGACTTCCTCCGTCTGATGCGCGA